CATAAGTCAAATTCAGTTTTATGAATTTTATGAATACATTTTAATTTTATGAATACATTTTTATTTTATTTATTTATTTTATTTTTATAAAATATATTGTAATTTTATTTCTAAATGTCTTGCCATAGTTTTTATTTGTTTACTAATGTCACCTTAAACTGTTTACTTGAACTTGACTGTGTGTGACAATTGTCTCTGAAGCTGGTTTGGAAGTGATAATCATTATGAAAAGTGCTATACAAATCAATTTAATTTAATTTAAATTTTTTAATTTAATTATTATTCTTCCTAATATTGCCATATTTCTAATTAAGGTAGTAGTAATAATAATAATAATGTATTATACCTTTAACTGCCTGCTATTTTTCCACATGCAGTGTAAATGGGTGTGTATACAGTACATGAATCTGTACTCATATTTTACTGTTCTCTATTTTTATTGCACTGTTTTTATATTTGAAGAAGACGCCACTCACCCTATTTAGGTTTATTTTGCAACAACGGTAAGCCAACTGTACAGTGTCCCTTATTTTGTATGGAACCAGTAAGAAGTGCTTTGGTTTAAGTTGTGTGGAGATGTTGTTGTTAATTGTGTGGAGATGTTGTGCACTTACGTCTCCATAGCGACTGCCACACACAAGTAAGATTGCTTGTTAGAAAACAATGCCAATTCATTTGTACAACACAATGGGCTGAAAGCTCCTCTGCTGCTTCTGACAGGACAGGTGGTGCATTATTACTCGTATGGAGATCTACAGACAAACACCTGTGGCATGACAACAGAATATAATCATTCTCAGACAGTCCTGAGCCACACGTATATAATCAAGACATCTCAAGTGAACTCAGACTCAGGTTTATTCAAGTGTTTCATTGGTCTAATTAAAATGAGCTATGTGACATACTGTATAGTGTTTTATGATAATCAAATATTTATTTATAAAAACACACTAGCAATTTTATTTATTTATTTTTTGGAAGCAACTAAGTGCTAATTTTTTGTACAAAATGTTCTAAATATATGTCAAATTTACCTGAAATGTGCGATTTAAAAGAAATTCAGGTTTCATGTTGCCATTGTCCAGTGTGAATTTGTTTGACAAACTTACATTTATACTTACTTTCTACTTACATTTATATTTACATTTACATATATTTAGCAGGCACTTTTATCCAAAGCAAACGAGGAATACAACAAGCGATTCATCATAATGAGGCACATAACACAAGAAAGAAGTGTTCGTAATACAAAGATTCAGACAGGTAGTACAAGCTAGAAAAATGGAGGGATTAAGTGAAAGCTATATATATATATATATATATATATATAAAGATGTAAATTTTTTTAATTAATAATTTTTAATATATCATTTTGTAATTACATTTTTATATATGTTTAAGATGCGGTTAAATGCTCACGAAGAGATGCATTTTCAGCTGTCTCTTTAATATTGTCAGGGACTCTGCATAGTTTTATATTTTTATATTGTTTATACTTTCACATTTTAGTTAAATTTATAGCAATTTTGCATCATTTTATTCGTTTTTGTTTTCGATACCATGTACTTGTCAGACCATTGTCACTGAGGTATGTTGACATTTAAATCAGCTTGTTGTAAATGTTGGTGGTAATAATATATCCAGAAAAAAAAAATACTAACAAAAAAACCCTTGTCATTGCCCTTTACTGCGAAGAAGTGAAACTGGCAGATTTCCAGGTGATTCTTATCAGCAGTCAGTAACAGTTCCTGGTAGTCATACCTGATATCAATAAATAACTGTTTGTGATCAAATATACAAGTAGGTCTTCTTTTTTTGGGAACAGACCTAAATCTTTTAATCCTTTTCTTTGAAATCCTGGTTTGGATTATTTGAATTGCATTTGAATGCAATCAGCACCGTATCTTGCTGTATTGTGTAAGAGTGTATATTTAATTCATAGTTATCCACCCACTCCTGCTCTGGTTCTCAGTCTTATATAAGACATCAGGAATGCCATATCTCTTCTCTCTATAATATTTTTTGGATTCATTGGTTTCTGAGAAATCAAAATAAACTGTACATTGTGTTATTGATTTCTGTTAGGCCTTTATTGCTATGGATCAATGACCTGGAATAAGGAGAGCTTCATTCCCATGAAATCACAAACCCAATGAATCTAAATAACTTCTTTATCAATATTTCCAAAGGACATTCACTCCAAATATATTATCATTGATCTTTGAACTTGTCACATGATGCCACTTCTTTTGACCCACATTTAAATTAGATATAAGAATTTTACGTCTACAAGTGCATATAATTGCAAAGGAAACAGCGCCCCCATGTGACTGATATGAAAAGCCCTGAGCGAAATAACATCACAGTGCATATTTTGGCTAAAAAAAAATGTACTCACCCTCAGGCCATTCAACACGACGATGAGTTTGTTTCTTTGAATAGATTTTGAGAAATGTTGTATTGCATCACTTTCTCACCAGTGGATTCTCTGCAGTGAATGGCTGCCGTCAGAATGAGAGTCCAAACTGATAAAAACATCACAATAATCTACAAGTAACCCACACGACCCCAGACCATCAATTAATGTCTTCTGAAGTGAAAAGCTGCGTGTTTGTAAGAAACAAATACACGATTAAGATGTTCTTTTACTTCAATTGGTTTCTGGCTAAAACCAAAAGTACTCTCTCAATAATATTGCTTTCTCCAGTGAAAAAGTCGTCTCGCCTTAATCAGGAGAGAAATATGCACAGGTCACCTTTTACAAGCGAAAACCGCCCAAAACAGTTCTAAACAAATATGTTGGTTGATTTTTATATGAGAGAACAACAGGGGATGGACTTTTCCACTGGAGGAATGGATTTTTTGGATAGTTTTTCTTTTCTTTTCATTATTATTATTGTAAATAGGTCGTTTAATTTTATTTTAGTTTCAGTTATTTTAGCACATCATTAAACTAATAATCTAGCGTAGCGTTAGTTCTGGCAGGTCACGTTAGTCAAGCTCGCATCAGCTGACCTTCAGCTGATCCCCATCTACCTATGGGACTACGACACCTATCTAAGCATTTTGTCAATCATCTTTGACGATAGTGGTCCTGACAGAAATGAGAAATGTTGCCTTGGCAACAAGCTATAATTAATTAAAGTTTTTTTTATTTTAAATTTCTTTTATTTCATATAATGGAAATGTTATTTTATGGTTTCAATTTTAATGAACTATAATAACAGGAGAAATGTTGCCTTGGCAACAAGCTATAATTAATTGAAGTTTTTTTTATTTTAAATTTCTTTTATTTCATATAATGGAAATGTTATTTTATGGTTTCAATTTTAATGAACTATAATAACAGTCACACTGCAGACAAACATCTCTCACGCACCTCAAACAGGCCTTTAGGTTTGCATAATCTACAAATGAGTCTACAAAGATGGAAAAGAAGTGACAAAGTTTGTATTCATTTCATTTATTTTTCAAAAGGACCATACGATATAAAAGGAATATTTTATAAGGCAGTTGGTAAACCATTTCATAATTTTTGCACTTAACCATATGATTGACTGGTGTGATGCAAACACAACATTCACTTGGAATCGTAAATGAACAAGTGGAGACTTCCTAGGGTTGTTTATGTATGGCTTCAATTATGGCAAAAACAAGCAGACCACAGTGGAAGCAAAATTCTCCATCACAGCTTGAGTGCTAGCTGTGTGTTTGGTGGGAATTGTGAGCGTACACAAACACTTGTGTGTCTCAGAGGTTAGCTATATCATCAGCACCTGACAAAGTCTGAGTTCAAAGTACATGTTGATGTTAATCATGTTCTACAACTGCTAACATCTAATACAGTTCAAAAATGCTGTGATCAAAATATACATAAGCTTTTGTTGGACAATCTAATAATACTCAACGTTATAAAAAATTTAACTCATCGTTTTTGTAGGGAGTACAAAAACACACTAGTATTCATCAACAATTATGACAATAAAAACGTTTTTGGCAACTTAAGAAAAGTTATTCCCTTTTTTGTTTCTTAAAACGTGATCCCGGTATGATATGAAACCAAAGAGATGCTAGAAACGGCATGATTTACTGAAGGGACTGTGGAGGAAAATAAGCACTCTGATCACAAGAAATTGAGCTGGAAAGCACAGGTGTTCATATAAGGCTAGATTCAACAACCAGCTCTGAACTTATATATAATGCAATGCAAATAGGAAAAAGCAAATACTGATGTTGGCATGTTTAATAGACCAACTCTGATTATGTTTTAAAAAGAAGAGAGTGCAATGTAAGAATCCTACGAACTAAAGCTTGATCACCTTCTTAAAGGGCTAGTTCACACAAAAATGAAAACGCTGTCATCTTAATGTGTTTGACTTTCTTTCCTCTGTTTAACACAAAAGAAAACATGGAATGTGGTTTGGACTTCAAAATATCTTCTTTTATATTCCAGTTCCAGTTTTTGAACAACATGTGGCTTAGTAAACGATGACATAACTTTCATTTTTGGGTGGACTATCCCTTTGAGTAAAACAAAAAAACAACAACTCCAGAGTAGCATCACATACCACTGCGAAGATTGAGTCATGTAATTGCATGTACTGTTTGTTCTGTTTTTTGAGACTTTACATCAGGACAGGCATGAGAATGTGAAGTACGTGAAGTGGACGAGTAAAGAGACGTTTCCTTTGATAATAGCTAAAATGTCCGTGCTTAATATCTACTGAGGTCAACAATAACATTTTCTCATTACCGTTCTGTTAACATAGATCCAAGGTGCGTATCTTCACTGCAAGAAATCCAAATGGCACTGTAATGTTTGATCGTTTAAAAAAAAAAAAAAAAAAAAAAAAAAAAAAAAAAAAAAAAAAAAAGGGGGGGGGGACACACATATATATATATATATATATATATACACAAACAAAGAAAAACAAGTAGAATAGAAAGCTAGAGTTTTTTTTTTTTTTTTTTTTTTAAAAAAAAAAAAAAAAAAAAAAAATAAAAAAAAAAGGTGAGTGACTGGACATCCTCCAAAGTTTGGCAGTGTGGGAAACCAGACCACGAGGGGTTGTGCCAGCCAGTCCCTCCACCAACCCTGCCTCGGTGCTGAAGTTTACACAGTCTTCCTGGCCGTGAGCACTCTGACGATGGAGCCCACACCTCCAGCTGAGAGAGCCTATACAGACAGAGAACGACAGAATTTGGGTTTGCAATGGTCCTATGTGACACCATTCCAAGATATCCTATATCCTAAAGATTTTCATCTTTAGGTGAACTATTCCTTTAAAGGTGACATATCATGAAAATCTGACTTTTCCAGGTTTCAAGTGCTATAGTCCCCGGTGCATCTACCAACCAAGGAAATGTGAAAAAGATTACCTCAGTAACTTTGTTTTGGTAAGCCTTTTTCTGCAAGCGTCTGAGAAAACGAGCGCGTCTGATTTAGCTCCCTTGGTGATGTGGCAAAGGGATCTCATTATAATATTACCGCCCCTTAATCTGTAAGTTTCCACCCACGGTGCCTTCATTTTGATTTCACAAGTGACAACGATGTACTAGCTTTAACGCCATGGCGAAAGTTCGAGCAAAGCATGCTAACTGTTCTGTCTTTTAGTCTCCTTTAAAGAAATGTAATTACCTTTTCATGCCACTGCAGTAGGATGGCACTGCTGTTGTCTGAGGGTCTTTCAAAGCCTCTGTAGATGTATTTCATTAGGAGATCAACTCCAGTCTTATCCAGAGATTGAACAGCCTTTTCTATATCACTAGTCTTGAAGGAGCTCAGCACTTTCAACATGAGGTCTTCAGCCTGTTCCTGCAAACACACACAAAATGAACTACCCTTGAAAACATATCATGAATCCATTCATTTGAGATGTTTATACACTTTTTATACACTTCTAATCCTATATGGCCATCTAAATAAGTGACTTAAGTAAATATGTAAATGTGAATTTTACACAAACATAAATTATACTTTTTTTTAATAATATTTAAAAAATATACATAATATATAAAAAAACATTAGAAAAGAAGGTCCAAGGCACTTCTTTTAGCTTTTTTCTTTTGCTAAATTAACTTGTTTTAGCTGGGTTTTAGCTTTTAAACCGAAACTGTTCAAACTTCAAGCTTTTAAATCTACTTCAAACTTTCTGGCTAAGCTTTTTCAAGCCAACTTAAAGTGTGTCTACTAACTTTTTTATCTAGTTATTGTTTAGGCTGTTTCCTGTTGTAAAGTATTGATCAGCTTATGTTGTTTTCTATGTTGTTGGTGCTACATAAATAAAATTGCCATGACATAATATTTTATCCATGTAATTTTACTCTGTGCAATACTCGTTTTCAAAGCCTTAAAAATACATATTTTGTTATTTGTTAATTGAGAAGAAATGATGTCAATTAAATTAACTGTCAATTAATTGTCTCCAGCCCTAACAAAATTTTCAGTATTTGTACTAAGTTCCATGACTTTCAAGGGAACCTTAGCAAATATCTAAAGGGGCCTCAAGATGACTTAAAATTATTTAAAATAAAACAAAACAATCATAAACTAAAAAACAAAAACCTACATATTTTTTTATTCAATTCACCCCCTAAACAACTGCTTTTTTTTCTTCCTTTGAAGAACCAGGCATCCCACATTCTTGGAAAACATAAATGAAGTAGATCTTTTTCAAGAAAGATCATTTTGAAAATACAGTTATAGTTTATAGTTAAGCCAAGCTCTAAAATATTTTATCAGGTAGCAATTGCGAATAATTTTTTTTTCATCATTAATTCCAATCCAGTAAATCCTGAACAAGGACCACTGGCAGAGGATGATCATGCTAAAAGTTTTACATAACTGATACGTTAGATACTCAGCTTTAACTCACCTTCACATTCTGGTTCTTGGTGTTGATGGGTGGATTCTTCAGCACTGCCTGCAGAGCTCCCATCAGGTTCCCTGTATCATGCACTAAGGAAAACCGCAGGACGCCAGAAATCACATCTAGCCACGAATAACATTCACTCTTCAATGATCACTACTCATAAATTTAAAATGTTATCGGAAAGGACATATCAGAAGGTGTGAGGAATTAAAAAGAACCCGTGCAACCGGAAGCCGGTGGCATCCGGAAGTGTTTCTACAGCAACCTCATTCTAAGTAATTGCCACATCTACAAGATACAGCTTCACGTGTTGCACTTTAAACACTATAGCCGTAATTCAGCGTTTTTAAAAGAACCTAAAGGCTGGGATCCGCAGTGCAAACACTGTGAAACGTGCATATCCCAAATGAATGAAGTGACTGACTAACGTTACCACACCCATGTCTGGACAACAGAAATAATCTATTATAGCAATTCAACGCCAACATATCAAGAGCTTTCAGAAAACGACTAATCAAAATACAATACTGCAAGTAAGCAGGGGATCTATGGAACGTAACAGTAAAAGTCATGGGAATGGAAGGATATGATCTGATGAGAGAATCCACCTCAGCCTCATCCGGACCTAGTTGATTTTCTCCACCGTCCTCCTCGTCGACAAACTTGTTTTCGTCGTACTCATCCACATCAACCTTTCTGAATCGATCGGACACTGTGTTCTTCGACATGGCTGGTGTGATCAATCAATCAGAAGATGTCAGTTTATAGAGAATAGTCCCAGCACTTACAGGAAGAAGCTCGGTGCTTGTTGACTTCCGCATAGAAAGCCCCCTAGTGTCAGTGGCATGAATTAAAACCTACACGTGTCGTCTCATGTCAAACTCTAGGGCTGTGTCCGAAATCGCCCCCTATACCCTCATTCACTCTTCCCTACATTAGGTCACTAATTCAGTTCACTAGAAGGAGTGAATGAAAACGAGTAGTGAATTCGGACACTGAGTGCACCGGAAGGAATGGCGCTTTTGCATAGTTTGTGCTTGCTGTTTATTAATCATTTGAAACTAGCAAACTAGCAGCTCCAGTAGTAAGATTAAAGGATTTATCTTGAACTCTGTCACGGAAATTATGTATAAACCCTAATCAAACAATTTAATAATCAATTTACAATGAATTTATACCCGTGTTGTACATTATGCTGTACGCCATGGATGAGCGCTTTGTAAAAATGAACGGATTGATTATTCAGCTGCGGGCGCCATCTTCTGGCGAGATGCGGGAATTCATTCGGCGCGTGACTCTCACGGTGCATTATAGGCATTCTCTAGCCGTTGAGCGTGCACCAGTTGTACACTCGTTTTTGCAGTGCATTGTGGGATTGAATGAGTGCACTCGAGAACGTCCACTATGGTTTCGGACACCACTAAAAATGGCTGTTCCCTCAAATAGTGCCCTATTTAAGGGTATAGGGGGCGATGTCGGACACAGCCTAGGTGGCACCCAATCAATCCATTTTAAGAATTCGTTAATTTTATTTTTAATTAGTTATTGCAATTCAATTAACTTTGGCTCCGAACAGTAGCAAGTGAGAAAATTAACTAATAAAATAATTTTAAATAATTAGAAAATAATTGTTAAATAATTATTTAATAATGATAGATAGATAGATAGATAGATAGATATAGCAGTTAATACAAATTCATTGTAGATTTGTACACTGTAAAAATGATATGATCAATAAGTCAAATTGACGTTTTTACATTAGTTTGGTATACAACTTGATTTTTTAAAGTATGCGAGATTTTGTAAATTTAACATAATTTAAGTTAAAATGACTTGTTCAGCCATTTTTATAATAAAATAGGCAAATGTATATAAATGAGAAAAAATTCAGTTTAGCAATTCTTAACGATTTGGGTTGGGATATTGTTTTTACCATTATACATTTATTACAAATTTAATAGGCCTAATCCCTAACCTTTTTTATTTGACTTGTTTTGACCAGTGAAATTAATGTAGTTATCTGTTTTTATTCTCATCCTGTTTTCCAGCACTACATTATGATAATGATGTGTTACTGGCATATTATTCTTTAGTCATACTACATGAGCTAATAACACAGGCTAATAGTGAGTAACCGGGTGAGTCTTTTCCTCTTCTCATACTACTGACATTTTTCCAGCAGATGGCGATGTAGGCTAAATTAAAACATTTCCAAAAGTGAAAAGAGGCAATTCCATCATTTTTGGCGCTAGAAAGCAATGCCAAAATGCTCCACCAAAATATTAGTGGAGATAATAGGCTATACAAGTACAATACATGTGAGTAGACAAATCATCTCTTGGCACTTCAGAATTATTATTATTTTTTATGAATGAGGTTTTTATGGATTATGGTTAGTAACATTTATTTTTTCATCATATTGCGATCATATTGACATCAAATTCCCTGGGTAATGGCAATGAGTTTTGGATTGCTGTCTCTGACAGATGAGCAAAACACTCAAACCATTACATCATTTCTAAAAGAAGAACCAGTCTCCATAAACTTTATATATGATAATCATTATTCAGTTGCTTTCACACAAGTTGTGGTTTACACACCAGTCACAATTACGCTGGACTGTGTTTGAACTAAAGGAAAAGTGTGAGGAGTTGGAGGAAGAGAAGAGAATAATAATAATAGTGTTATTGTGATTGATAATAGCCCTTTTATGAAGTGTATATATACAAAAATCTGTGCAGGAACAATTTCTCTGGCTTGTAAGAAACGTTATCATGGAATTTTGTCAGCCCGCTGTGTAAGATACAAGATGATAAGGCACAATAAATGTGATTGTACAAACTATTTAAACATAATTTCTGTTATTAGAGATCATTTAGTAGGAGTAGTCACAGCTATACTTTGCTTTTCCATTATGAAGCTTTGTATTTTCGAATGTGAGTTTACTATACAGTACTTACAGGAAATTCCCAACAACTACAGTTTTCCCCAGTAACTACACATTTCCTCAAACGAGGTGCCTTATTTTTGCAAAACCTACTAAGTCAAAACGGTTATTTCCACATCGTGTGCGTGTGTGTGTGTTTGTAATAATACCGTCAGTATCCTGATCCTGAGTCAGTTTCTTAAAGTAAACACTTTGTGTGTATATTTCCTGTAAAAAGTCCTCAGGCAAATCATCGGCATGAAAATCCTTTTATTATGTTTATGCACAACACTACACAGGCTAGTAACATTACTTAAATGTACATGACAGATAACTTTATTGTGTATACATGAATCATACAAAAATACAGTACGTGCCCACTTTTAAAGAATCTATATCTTTCGCAACATAATGATTACATCAAATTCTAACTGTACAGACCACAAACAGCAAGGAATGTGTAATAATAGACATTTATTTTGGACCTAAAGTGCACTCTAAAGCTTAGGTCTATGTTTACCACACAACCTTCTTTTCACAACCTTCACAAGTCTTTCCGGTATGTACATGCCACCTTTACCCTACTGACCTCTGTTCAGTTGTATGAATGACCTCACCTGTTACGCTTTAAGCACTTTTTTCTCATTGACATTTACTTCAAATGTTTGATTTTGCGACGTCCAAATCGTAAAATTAATTTTAAAACACAATAGCTACACAATAAGCATACAAATAAATAATCTTGTATACAATTTCATCATAAAGTATGTAAACCAGAGGAATGATTATGTGTGAAGTTAGATCTGTATGTGCCACAAATATATCTGATACAAACAGGAAATGAGATTTTCACAACATGTCCCATCATGTCATTGTTCCTGATGCCTCACAAGGACGTGGAGTCCTGCGTGGGAGGTGTAAGATGGCATTTTACCTTCTGCCTTTCACCCCTTGGGCAGGAGACGACATTTGTAAGCAATATAAATAGAAGCAGCTGAATCCAGTTCCTAAGCAATGAATCTTTCGCTAAAATATGAGATGAATCCTGTCCTGAAGGCAAGGCCTAACCATCGACCATCTACTGTCAGGTGCGTCACAGTAGAACTGAACGGAGAACATAAATTGTTTTCTTATCACACTGGCAGAAACACATGAGGAACAGCGTGTCCTGAGGCTCAGGCCGCCACACTGAGCCCGTAAATTACTTGCAGAACAGTATTACTGCTAAAATGTCAAGTGAAAACAAAGCTGCCAGTACTTGGCTCCTTGGAACCCGTAGAGAAGTACACAGACAGATTCGTAAGCACTTTAACATGGAGATTCAAGAACCGTTTGGAAATGAAGTTGGGAGATGGTCCTGAATGTTGTAAAGTTCTTCACGTCCCCTGCCCATTGTGTTTGTTTATTTAATATTTTGGCTAATTTGATAATGTTTTCAGTGACCAATAAGAGTGCAGTACTCTCGTTTCTCAGATCATTTCAGCATACACAACAAATTTTACCATATGTGACCCAGGACCACAGAACCAGTCATAAGGGTAAAAATTTTTTTTTAAATTGAGATTTATACATCATCTGAATAAATAAGCTTTCCATTGATGTATGGTTTGTTAGAGATACAATTATTTGAAAATCTGGAATCTGAGGGTGCAAAAAAAATCAAAATATTGAGGAAATCGCCTTTAAAGTTGTCCAAATTACGTCCTTAGCAATGCATCTTACTAATCAAAAATGAAGTTTTGATATATTTACGGTTGGAAATTGACAAAATATCTTCATGGAACATGATCTTTACTTAATATCCTAATGATTTTTGGCATAAAAGAAAAATCGATCATTTTGACCCATACAGTGTATTGTTGGCTATTGCTACAAATATACCTGTGCTACTTGTGACTGGTTTTGTGATCCAGGGTCACATATTCAAATCTATTCCATAGAAGTTCCCCCAAAATCAGTGCAGAAAACACAAAAATGCATGTAGATTCTGTGTTCCTGCTGCTGCATTCTAGATGAAGTCTTAGTGAGTCTAGGTGGGAAGACTTGAATTGAAATTTTCCATTTCCCACCATTAGAGCGTTCCAGTCATGATGCGTTCCAGACAAGCTGGATTTTTGGAATTGTCCACCTCTACTTCAAATTAACCAATGGAATGTCATTTTACTTGCCATCATCTTGGTAATGACATCAAATTGGGCTTCTTATTGGAGTTGGGGTTTGTAACGGTGTTATTTTAGAATCATTGATAAATGTGGTTTTAATTTTAGTTAACCCTGGTTGGTAAGAATTGGAAGTCTGACCAAAAAAGCCCCTTTCCAGTGATTATCTTTAAAGGGGTCCTATTATTCTTTTTCACTTTTTCAACTTTAGTTAGTCTGTAATGTTGCTGTTTGAGCATAAAAAATATCTGCAAAGTTACAACAGGTGCCGAGTGCTGCCAATCACAACACACACTGGCCCAGCTAACCAATCACAGCACATTTCGCATTTCAGAAGGCGGGCCTTCATTTGATACAGGAACTATTCGAGCCGTTCATGCCAGACTGAGGAGAGAGGTGTTGTAATAATGTAAAATATGTGAAAAATAATGTGTTTTTCGAACAACCTAGTATGAGGGCCTGTTCTAGTACACGCCCAAAACAAAATCATGACTTTGTAAAAGAGCATAATAGGACCCCTTTAAGTAGGAGGTGGGAGAATTCAAAGTTGTCTGGAATGCAGCATAAAAATGACCCTGTAATAAGGTCAATCCAGTCTTGACTGATGAATCTGCTCAGTGATTCTCATGAAATGGCTGAATGAGAACCAGCACCAGTGGACCAATGAATTCTCAGACGTCAAGGCTTTTGCGTAGCTTTTTGTAGCTATATGTTAGGTGTGTCGTTTTGCATTGCTGGTATCTCGTTTCAGGAACTTCTTGTTTTCAATCTCACTGAGTGATAGGGAAACTGAGCAGCGTGAGGGGTTCTCTCGTCTCTGCAGAATGCTGTCTTTAATTGCTTCTTTTATAACCTACGAAACAAAACAGAGCCATGTTGAAAGAAACTGCAAAAACTGCTGTGAAGGTGACTGGATCAGAGTTTGAAGGAGAAGAACTGACCTCAATGTTGTTGAGCGTGTTGAACTCCATGAGGTCATGAAGCCTCTTGAAAGCCTGGTTGGAATATTGGAAGTTGAAAGTAGAGAAGGGAGAGGCTGGATCGTCAAATATGTCAAAGTCGCCAAACTCTATCTCCTTGTCTGTGTCCCTGGGAACTCCTTCAACAAAACAGAAATGAGATTTTTTTTAAAGAAGTTCACACGTCACTAACTTTCTTAGTGACCTAAAAATAGTACAGAATCTGATTCGCTTGACATAACGTTTCTTCATTTAAAAAATTCTAACATCCTAAAACATTATTTCCAGGTTTAAATTAGAGTTTGAATCCCTGCATTTCAATGTGGCCTTAGACTTGTGGATCCCTCTGTATACAGTACAATTCAAAAGTTTGTTTGGGGTTTGTAATATTTTTTTATATTTTTATGCTCACCAAGGCTGCATTAATTTGATCAAAAATACAGTAAAACAGTAATAACTGTTTTCTATTCAGGGTTATTATAGCTATATGACTAGTTATAGCTATATAACTAAAAGCATAAAAAACACTGACAACTAGCTGTCAAGGCAATGTTTCTCATTTTCATTTAGTGTAGTGCTGTCAAACGATTAATCACATCCAAAATAAAACATTTTGTTTGCATAATATATGTGTGTATTGTGTATATTTATTATATAAATAATTATATATATGATATATATTGCATGTATATATTTAAGACAAATATGTTACGTTTATATATTAAATCGATTTATATATGATATAAATTATATTAATATAAATATATAATTTAAATACATGTAAATATTTATAAAAATATATGCTGTATGTGTGTTTATTTATATATACATAATAAATATACACAATACACACACATATGGAAACAAAAACTTTCAGTTTGGATGCGATTAATCGCGATTAATCGTTTGACAGCACTAATTTAGTGTAACTTGATGTACTAAAATAACTAAAACTGAAATAAAAATTTCTAAAAATTTTTATCTAATAAAAATGACAAAAACTAATAAAAATGACAAAAACACAAAATAAAAACAATTTCAGAATATTCATAAAAACTACAATGTATTGGTGGAAACTGTGATACCTTTTCAGAATTTTTCAGAATTTATTTGAATAGCATTTATTTGAATTGAAATCTTCTGTAATATTCTAAATGTAAATAAAAGTATATATTTCTTAAAAAAACGTGTTGACCCTAAACTTTCGAATGGTAGTGTATTTACAGTACATATTTATATTAAGTTGTGTGCACTGACAAATAATAATGACAAATGCATTGACACAACCTTCTATTGTGTTTTCCTTGTTGACTGCACACAAAACATCCAAATATACAAACATACAGTGCAATGTGCTTTACAATTTGCAAACAAGTCTCTGTGATTCTTTTTTTATGAATCAGTGGACCCAGTTGGTGAATCAGATTGAACTGAACATGCAGTAGGAACCACAGAGTGTGAATCATAGACTGAATCAGTCAGACAACTCACTACTTCACAGAATAGGCTGGAATGACTCACTTACTAGTTGAGCCACAGTTTCGTGCAAGTCATGATTTGAAATGAGCTGGGAACTTTTACTGTTCTTTTACATGCTCTCACCTGGGGCTTTAAAGTTCCGAAAGTCGATGTTGGCCAAGACGAAATGAATGACGGTGGGGCAGCTCTTGTCTCCCTTGTTGGGTTTGAACACATAGCACTCTTTCAGACCCTCTCGGTCAAATACTTTCGAATCGATCTTAGGGAATGGCAGCTTATTCATACGGGCCCATTTTTCAGCCAACAGTATCTCCTAACACAGACAAACAAGGACACAATTTGATGACATTTATAATGTTACAAAAAATTTCTATTACAAATAAATGCTGTTGTTTTGAACTTTCTATTCATCAAAAAAAAAGGTGAATAAAAATGTATGACAGTTTCCACAGCGATATTAAGACGCACCATTGGTTTCAACATTGATAATAATAAGAAATGTTTAATGAGCACCAAATCAGCACATTTCTGAAGGATTATGTGACACTGAAGACTGGAGTAATGGCTGCTGAAAATTCCGCTTTGCCACCACCATTATTCTAAATTGCAATAATATTTAGTATATATAACTTAGGGTGTTTTTACACAATAGCACTTTTGGTGCGCACCCGGGTTCGATTGACGTCAGAGTTCGGTTCGTTTGGATGATGTGAACGCTGTCTTCCGAACTCGGGTGCGCACCCACGAACCGTACCCGAGTCCGCTTAAAAAGGGTGGTCTGGGGTATGGTTCAAGTGAACTCCGGTACGGTTCGCTGCTGATGTGAACGCAATCGTACCAAATCACGGAAGTGAACCGCTATTTATGACTTATTTTTTGATAAATATGTGTGTTTGTGTGTGTTTCACTCGCTTTCCTGACGAGCGTGACTGACGCGCTGCAAGCAGAGAACTGTATATCTCATTTCTGTTCACCTTCAGAGTACTTTAGAGCATTTGCAGTACATTCGTAAGGCAGACGTAAGTGCTGTTATGTACTGAAGCTTTGGAAACAAAACCAACGGTTCAAAAACATAAATACAATTTGCAAACAAGTCTCTGTGATTCTTTTTTTATGAATCAGTGGACCCAGTTGGTGAATCAGATTGAACTGAACATGCAGTAGGAACCACAGAGTGTGAATCATAGACTGAATCAGTCAGACAACTCACTACTTCACAGAATAGGCTGGAATGACTCACTTACTAGTTGAGCCACAGTTTCGTGCAAGTCATGATTTGAAATGAGCTGGGAACTTTTACTGTTCTTTTACATGCTCTCACCTGGGGCTTTAAAGTTCCGAAAGTCGATGTTGGCCAAGACGAAATGAATGACGGTGGGGCAGCTCTTGTCTCCCTTGTTGGGTTTGAACACATAGCACTCTTTCAGACCCTCTCGGTCAAATACTTTCGAATCGATCTTAGGGAATGGCAGCTTATTCATACGGGCCCATTTTTCAGCCAACAGTATCTCCTAACACAGACAAACAAGGACACAATTTGATGACATTTATAATGTTACAAAAAATTTCTATTACAAATAAATGCTGTTGTTTTGAACTTTCTATTCATCAAAAAAAAAGGTGAATAAAAATGTATGACAGTTTCCACAGCGATATTAAGACGCACCATTGGTTTCAACATTGATAATAATAAGAAATGTTTAATGAGCACCAAATCAGCACATTTCTGAAGGATTATGTGACACTGAAGACTGGAGTAATGGCTGCTGAAAATTCCGCTTTGCCACCACCATTATTCTAAATTGCAATAATATTTAGTATATATAACTTAGGGTGTTTTTACACAATAGCACTTTTGGTGCGCACCCGGGTTCGATTGACGTCAGAGTTCGGTTCGTTTGGATGATGTGAACGCTGTCTTCCGAACTCGGGTGCGCACCCACGAACCGTACCCGAGTCCGCTTAAAAAGGGTGGTCTGGGGTATGGTTCAAGTGAACTCCGGTACGGTTCGCTGCTGATGTGAACGCAATCGTACCAAATCACGGAAGTGAACCGCTATTTATGACTTATTTTTTGATAAATATGTGTGTTTGTGTGTGTTTCACTCGCTTTCCTGACGAGCGTGACTGACGCGCTGCAAGCAGAGAACTGTATATCTCATTTCTGTTCACCTTCAGAGTACTTTAGAGCATTTGCAGTACATTCGTAAGGCAGACGTAAGTGCTGTTATGTACTGAAGCTTTGGAAACAAAACCAACGGTTCAAAAACATAAATCTAAAATTGAAGAGAGCCTTGGTACGCATTTTGCCGTCTTCTCCTGTGCCATCGTTACTAAGCAACGGGGTAAACAGCTGCTGGCTTGATGACGCAAACGAACCGCGGTTTGGACCCAAATAATATAATGTGAACACAGTCCAGCGGAGGCAGGGGGAGGGGGGAGCAATCGAACTCGGGTTCGGACCAAGCAATCGAACCAAGTGTGAAAGCACCCTAAGACCCATTCTGCTATATTCTCACAGGAACTGAGCTTAAAGGCAGAAACTGTGAAAACAGTAAAAAATTACTTCCTTTTTACTGTAACCTCAAACTGCATTGTGTGTAATATTGACAGCTAGTGTTTGAAATGGGTACTGCAGTCCAAATTCAAAATAATGGAGAGAGTTGTTTCTCCCACCCCCCTTCTCCTTGACTCACACGGGTTGCCAGATTGAGGACACGCAACAGGAACGAACACAATTGACAATGGAAGGTGATAAACTTTAAACTGGTCATAGAGCTTTTTAGATTGATGCCAAGGCCTAATAGGTTGGGTAGAATCTGTAATCTGACCCAGTTTATTTGCTGGCTTCCGTGGCTGCAATACGCTGTGTTTTCCCCCAACTGGCAACACAGGTTTCGAAATACTACTGAGTAAATTGGCAGTGGGCGGAAACACATGGACCAACACAAAAACAGACATTCTGACATGGAATGCAAATTTCAAAGTAGAATAACTAGCTGTAGCGTTGTGTTCAGAGAAATGCGAACTTAGCATGTGTCCTAAATATTTGCAAATATATTATGGTATTTTTATGCTTTAGTACAGTCAAAAAGTTACGTGCGTTGAAGACTGACACGGAAGAGAAGATATTGTTGAATAAAGTCGTTATTTTTGTTTTCTTTGCACACAAAAAGTATTCTCATAGCTTCATAAAATTAAGGTTGAACCACTGATGTCACATGGACTATTTTAACGATGTCCTTACTAGGGATGTGCGGGTCTAGTCGACTAACCGGTACAGCTCCTACTAGTCGACACTGAAAACAACAGTCGATTACACGACAGAAAAAGAAAAAAAAAACATGATTTTATCATTCAAATTACCGTCATTTTAACATTGCATTTAAAACATTTTAAATAACAAGTTAAAATAAAACGTTTGAAAAATAATACATTCTTTTTAAAAGTTTATCTGGGCGGAAACTAAATTTTTACCTCAGACCTCGTTTTCTTCGTGTCAGTTGCGGCGAGTTCAAAAATGACCATGCGAAAGACGAGAAGGTGTGGGATTATTTTGAATTAGAAGGAAACGGAAAAGTTGAGTAAACTGTGTAATGTCAAATTGTCTTACAATAACTCTACTGGAGCGATGCGTAATCATATTCAATACAGGCATGTAGGCGTTAGCTTAGAGCAGTGGTTCTCAACCCGCGGCCCGAGACGCTCAGGCCCTAGCCCGGCCGTGTCCGACAGCTTATTAGAATTACCGGCCCGAGCCCGTCTTTTTTTTCCCCCTTCTCCCAAAACAGCTTATACTACTGTTTCAGCTATATTAAAATAGTTCAGTTTTGTATGTAATGGCAAAGTGATTATATTTTGTTTCGTTTCGTTTTTTTATTAAGTTAATTTAGAAAAATTTTTTGGTCATTAAATATAAGTTTTTGTTTTTTAAAATAACGACCAAGCGGCCAGCGGCAGACAGTGAGCCTATGTGTCATGAATAAGCTTCATGTTAGACACTTACTTTGAATGGCGGGCTGGAGTCACTGGGCCTGGCTGAGAAGTCGAAGGAAATGATGAGGTCAACTCCTCTCTGTGGCCTCAGAATGAGAGGATAGGGCAGGTTAAAGGTAAGACCGCTGTCCACCACGTGGATTTTCTTACTCTTCACATCTAGGGGCTCATAGATTCGCTCAAACTCGTCGGGATCTGCAGGAAAATTTCATTTCAATGTTATCACTTGTTTGTCAATTACCTATAAAAGGAACTGCAGAATGCCATTTACTAACATTCATCTAGCTACTTGTGAGTAATGAAAATTTTATGCAACAATGTCATAATTTATTCAGCATTACTGTACAAATTCTTACAAGCACTTCTCTTTTTTTTCCCACACCCAAGTGTCAACAGGAAGTAGACTGCTGCTGAGTCAAAGAGACATGCAGTGCTATTACTATCAGTAATTATAAATGAGATTTTGCCTTCATCATCAGTAAGATTATAACAGAATTAGGGCTGAACGATTAATTGCATTTGCGATAATATCGCGATATGAAAAACACGATTTTTCAACCGCAGAGGCTGCGATTACACTCAGTCACGTGACACGCGAGAGTAAAGAGGTGTGTTCGACTTGAAGATCAGATCGGTGTATGACATCAAAGTACGGCGAGAGAAAGCATAAGGAGACGACCGCTCTCTTATAGCTCTCGCAGTACTTTGATGACACACACCCATCGGTCTAAGCAGCGCTGCTTCAAGTCGAGCGCGGGCCATCAGCAGAAAAAGAAAAGAAATAAAACGGTTAACAGCCAAAGGACGTAACTTAGAATGGGAGATGGATCGGTTTGTGAAAGGGAAGAGAAAAGCCATAGATGAAGTCGCACAGACCCAGGCAGTCAGATTTTTTTTATAGGTTTAAAGGGGGGCGCGATTTCCAAAATCATTCAGCCTTAAACAGAATGACACATAAACTTGAGAAAGTGCAGAAAACTCTCATTTAACACGATCTTGCAGTGACATGCGTGTCAAAGATGCTTCCTGTGTGATGTTTCTGCATTTTTAACCCCTGGGAGAAAAGTTAATCCTCACTGGGTGTGTTGGTATTTCTTAGATGTAAGAAGTTTTGAGAGCTGACTAACTGACTTCCTCCCACTCAGTCACCAATAATGTTTGAAAGCCCATCATCAAGTCTCGTGGCACCTGACCAGATTTCAGCCTATTGTTCCACCTACAGTCCGTCACACCCATTTTCTTTTAACTGCATACCTGACAAGACCAGGTTAAGTAGAGGTTTCAGGCACTAAGAAAAATACAGAGTGAAATTCTGGACAAAAACGTTGTGGGATTGAATCCTCTGAAGGGTGAATCTTGAATTTGATTAATGATTAAGGCGCCTTACGTTTGGTTGAACTATGAGTCAGGGGTTTTTAAAATGGGGTGTGAAGACCCCAAGTAGGTGCTAGGGGGTCTGTGAAAAATATCAGTGAAAAATATTTAAACTTGAAAAAAAAAGAAGTTAATTTTGCCTTAAAAAAAATAAAGATTATGAGATTTTTATCAATTTAATAATATAAAAATTATTATATTGAATAATATTCAATAATCTAGATGAAAAATGAAAAGCTAAATTAACATAAAAATGAGTTTTCCTCATATAGTATATAATGAAGTCTGTATATATATCAAATATATAGCTTTTCTAATTATAATAGCCTTCCTTTTTAAGGAGGGGGTCCTAGCAAGGGCTTTATCATATTTGGGGGTCCTTGACATCAAAATGTATCTAAATTTGAGAAGTTAATTTTGCCTTAAAAAAAAATCAAGATTATGAGATTTTTATCAATTTAATAATATAAAAATTATTATATTGAATAATATTCAATAATGTAGATGAAAAATGAAAAGCTAAATTAACATAAAAATGAGTTTTCCTCATATAGTATATAATGAAGTCTGTATATATATCAAATATATAGCTTTTCTAATTATAATAGCCTTCCTTTTTAAGGAGGGGGTCCTAGCAAGGGCTTTATCATATTTGGGGGTCCTTGACATCAAAATGTATCTAAATTTGCATAAAAGTGGCAGCTAAATGACTCATTTGTACCTGTAACAGCATCAACCTCCTCATCCACTGAGGTCTGGTTCATGAGGCCGCTGAAGGGAGAGAAGGGCAGGGAGGAGTTTAGGTTGAGTCCCAGCATGAAATTGTGCACCTTGCCGGCACGGCCCTCACGTGTGGTGAACAGGGTGGTGTCCCCCATTATGGAGGTCAACATGCGCTGAACCCAGCTAGCCTGGGCATGGCGCTGCCGCTCATCTTCTGCCTCTGCGCTCTCTGTGCCTCCTGGATGAAAGAGAGACAGAGGCAAACAATGATTCTCTGGCTCATTTTTCCCAGATGTTTACCTACTCTGCTAATATTTTCACTTCACCAACCACAAAAATTAATTAAAAATGTATTTTCAGTGGTATATACATGTATCAGAAAAACACCCTAGTAAAAAAGTAATATATTTAAAATACATTTATTTCACACTAAGCATAGTTAAAATCTATTAACATATTTCCTGACATATCGCTCGAGATTTACTGATTAATTAAACTTTATTTGGAGTACTACTTGTGCACAATGAACATTTCTTAATATTAAACCCAAAATGTGTTTTAATCTTACTGTTGATGAGGATTGTATGATTTTTGAATAATATTGGTCTTTAAATGCAAGGTATTTAAAGTGTACCTGAAGTATACTTGCAATAGCTCCACTTTAGCACAATCAAATATAATTCAGTTTATCTTTAGTTGGACTTCAGCACTACTTCCGCACAATTAAAGTGCATTAAGTACAAAATTAGTTGTTCCAATTTAGCAGAGTTTAAATATACCAGTTTAGTATACTAAAAGTACAGTTGCAGGGTATTTTTATTAAGTACTGTACATAAATATATAAATGTATTTGTAGTACACTTAGCATGAAATAAATGTATTTCAAATACATTTTAGTATATTTATCTTTCCATAGGGTATGCTTACATATATTTATCTTAAGTGTATATATGTTTTTATTTTTACCACAATACATTTATTAGATTTTTAATTTGCAAAAATACCTGGAAATTATGTAACTATGATGTAACTCAAAGTTCATAATACATACAATTTTACTGGAAACTGTTTGCATATTGTGTAAAACATTACACAGTTAGATATATGTTACCTTGGTAACAATTTAAATGAATGAATAAAACATTAAACAGATACATAATGTTACCCTGGTAATATCAAATGAATAAATTAATAAAACAAAATTAAAATACCAATGTTCAGCATACCACACAAAACCAAATGTCTAAACATGTAAGGTATAAAAACATGTACATGAAGAAACACGGGATGTAATGACGCAGCACAGTGTATGTGACAGTCCCATCAACTGATCTGAAACTCTCACACACTGACCCCAAACCAATAGGTCATTGTTATTGTTGAGCCCTGAACTGAACTGAGTGTATGTGTGTGAAAGAGAGAAAGTGAAAGAGAGATAAACGATCAGAGAGGACTTTCTCACCCCTTTGAGTTTCCTCCTCATTATCTGCTGAATCATCACCCACAATATGCTCGGGTTTAATTTGCTCTGAAAAACAGAAGATGCAAACCGTTTCAGATTGTACCCATGATAAGAGACAACCCCTTTCTTTTCATTGATGATGTAATTCAAAGTTCATAATACATACAATTTTACTGGAAACTGTTGGCATATTGTGTAAAACATTACACAGTTAGATATATGTTACCTTGGTAACAATTTAAATGAATGAATGAATGAATAAAACATTAAACAGATACATAATGTTACCCTGGTAATATCAAATGAATAAATTAATAAAACAAAATTAAAATACCAATGTTCAGCATACCACACAAAACCAAATGTCTAAACATGTAAGGTATAAAAACATGTACATGAAGAAACACGGGATGTAATGACGCAGCACAGTGTATGTGACAGTCCCATCAACTGATCTGAAACTCTCACACACTGACCCCAAACCAATAGGTCATTGTTATTGTTGAGCCCTGAACTGAACTGAGTGTATGTGTGTGAAAGAGAGAAAGTGAAAGAGAGATAAACGATCAGAGAGGACTTTCTCACCCCTTTGAGTTTCCTCCTCATTATCTGCTGAATCATCACCCACAATATGCTCGGGTTTAATTTGCTCTGAAAAACAGAAGATGCAAACAGTTTCAGATTGTACCCATGATAAGAGACAACCCCTTTCTTTTCATTGTCCCGAGTTTCACTGTATGGGTGACACTCACAAAAAAGTATTTAAATTTTGCATAGAAAAACATTAAGATTCTTTACTACACTAATGAGAACATGGATGAAAATAAAGTCCCAGTCTGGAAAAACTTAATCAAAACTTACGTATGAATAGTGGAACATGAACATACTGAACTGTTACTTATGCTACTGTACTTATGAACTGTACTTATCTATGACTGAGGTCACACGTGAAATGTGTGTAGATCAGTGTGGCAGTGTGTTAATCTTATCACTTATCACTCATGCAGTGATGTGTGTCAACTGTACATGTTTGCAGTAGAACAACTAGTATTGGCGCATTTCAGCATGTTACAAGGATACAAGCTGACAATATGATAACAATCTAACTTGGCCTACATTTGGGTTCTTTTGAAATGTGGAGCAATTTGTCTCTTCCATCAAGTTCTTTGCCTCTGATAGCTAACAGACAGTGTTGGGCAAGTTACTCTGAAAATGTAATCAAATTACTGATTACTCCTTTTAAAAGTAATCACGTTACTGTTCTGATTACTTTATTTCAAAAGTAATTAGTAATTAGTTACATTACTAGTTACGTTACTTTTTTCTCCATTACATTTATGAAATCCCAGCATACACGCTCCCGATAAATATTTGTTATTAAAGCAACATTCACAGAACACTGTTATTTTTAACTAAAGCAAGCGGCTGCTGTGTGCATGGTTTGGCAGAATGCCAGCAAAGAGCGCTGCATTTATAATCTCTAAAAGACATCTCAGTTCATCGCAATCTCACAAATCTCTGTTATAACACAATAAATATATGCATAATGAATCTTTCATAATGTCTACAATTCGTGTGTTATAATGAGAGGATTCGTGAGCACGCAAATTTCAGCACTGCATTGCTCAACGCTGCAAATACGTGTTATAGCCTAAATAGAAGGTCTGCATATGCTTGCACCTGTTAATCGTTTATATTTTATATTAGTTCATGTTGCTTTTGTGCAATAGATGAATAACAATTTATTTGTTTATTCTGTCAGCAATGTAACGCGGCAGTAACGTATAGAGACTTCGGCTTGTAACTATACTCTAATTACTATTTTGAAAATTATAACGTGTTAAATTACTCCGTTACTAAAAAAAGTTATCAAATTACAGTAACGCCTTGCTAAGTAATGCTTTATTGCACAACACAATCACACAAAGACACAATCTTACTCACCCAGCTCCTCCTCCATTGTGCTACTGCTGGTTGTCTCCTTCACCCCCAGAACCCGGTTAAAGAGGATGGAGAAAGCACTGCCCCATACACCTGCAGCACATACACTTACATTAAAACTGCTTAACGGCAAACAATACTTGGAACTGATATTCTAGTAAACAAAATTATGAAGGACTTCTTTCTGACTTTTTTCAACTGAGAAAATGTTCTTGCTTGAAAGGGTGCAAGATGTTTGTGCAAGAGAAGTGTTCTTTATTTAACATATGTAGCATTTATATAAAGTTACATTGTAACAAACTTTATTTGTTTCCCGCATCCCGCACACACACGAGTGTCTACCCGCACGCACCAGCACTCGCCCATCTTCTCCCGTGCCACACTCTGTTGCGTCGGGTCTCGCGGGAGCAGGTCTCTAATCCACTGGCACTTGACTCGACAGTGCGTGTGCTACATCCTCTTTACAATCTCTAGATTATAAAACACTGCATTCTGTCAGCAATGTAACGCGGCAGTAACGTATAGAGACTTAGCAGTATCATGAACATTTATTCAATTTAAAATAATACGAGCATGTAGCATTGTATCATATTCTATAGTGTAGTATATGTATTTTCAAATTGCAGTTTCAATGCGGCTGTATATACTTAAAAAGTATATACATTTTTAATTTTTTTAGAAAATGACAGATCGTTTCGATAGATAAGACCCTTATTGCTCAGCTGGGATTGTGTAGAGCACTTTGAGGCTGCATTGAAACTGCAATTTGGGTCTTCAACACCTTGGTCCCCCGAAGCCCACCATATGGAGAAAAATCCTGGAATGTTTTCCTCAAAGTAATCACACAGTACATGAGTAACTGCTGTCAGTATTCAGTGACACTATATGCATATTGAGGGGTCTCTTAGCAAACCGTTCTGTTGAAATTCAGAGCAGTCCCAGTCTTACCCATGAGGAAATGTAAGGGGTTTTCCTCGTATTGTTTCACAACGTTGCCCATAAAGAACTTGCTCCCAAACAGCCCCGGAGACATGAAGGTGCCGTATTTGGCCATGCCAATCTCATGCGGGCTGAACTCCACCCAGTCTGATTGAGACAGAGGAAACAAACCCAATATTATTAAGCCAAAATGACAATCAAAGGCGTTTTTATCTATTACACTGCACTACCAATACTACTCAACTATCTGACTCATGTTCACACAAATACAAAGCGTAATGTACAGTAAGTGACTCGCATTGATCTGACAAATACTTCCACTTAACCATCATATGTTTAGTTACAATCTCTGATCCTATTCAACAGAAAACAACCTACCCACACAATGACTAGTGTCTAAAAATAGTGTGTCTACACCTGTGGGCTGTGAAAATTCATAATGAATTCACAGTGGGTCAATCATTATAACAAGTATTTGCATGTTTTCCACAGTATTAAGCAAATGTAAACAAATCGATAGTGTTCAGCTTCCACGGAGGCCATGAAGCGGTATAATACAAATTTGTACAAATACGGACAGTTGCTGTCTTTCTCATTTCTTTTTAATAATATTTCTACAATTCACACAACAATCAATAGCGGACAATACAATATAATGTAGCATTCTTAATGTTTATGTGAACTGTCATCTTACCTGCGAACATGAGTTCAGAGACATCAGGTTTGACGTGCAGACAGGTGAAGAGAGGAAGGGGGCTCTGACCTTCATTAATTTTCGCCTGCAGGGAGCTCAGTTTAGTGTCCATTCTCTGTGCAAAACACACACATACACACACACACAGCTTAACAATCAAACTTTTTTCTTTAGGGCATCTGTGTCAATGCACGTAAAAATTGATATAGGCATAGCATTTTCTAAAAGGATGGTGCTAAAAGTGTAGTTTAATTAAAGGAACAGTGCATCTTAAAATTAAAGTCTCCTCATCTTTTACTCATCCTCATGTCATGTCTGACTTACTTTTTTACATTGGAACATGAAAAGAGGACATTTTAAACACTCTGCTGGTCAGACAGGATTGTTTCTCACACTAAGCTAATGTATAGCTTTAGTATGTATATAAAGTTGTGTTATTATCTGATACTTTTATGATGATTTTGCGTCCTGTTTAAAGATTAAAAGCTCCAGTCTGCATTAATTGTAACTACGTGGACAAAAACAGCAAGTAGATTTTCAAAAATTCCTCCTCTTGTGTTTCACAGAGAAAATAAATGATGACATTTTTGGTGCAGTTTGGGTCCATTCAAGCAATAGAAATATTTTCCTAAAATCAACTGGTCATCACGTATATCAGACACACTTTCAGTGGTCCATTATTGCTAAGCTGCATCTATATCTCTGCAAATATTTCAGAAATGTCATATTTAAATAGTAAATTATTCAAAAATATCTTACTCTAGTGGACAAATAAGCAACATGAATGCACAATATCAAGTGCACACATTTTCTCATACACTACATTTCAAAGGTTTGGGGTCATTAGGAGAAAAAAGTCTTTTATGCTCTCCAAGGATGCATTTTGTAATTTACTGATTTAAAACAAAAAATACAGTAAAAACCATAATATTAGTACAATTTAACTGTTCTAAATTTAAATGTATTTTAAAGCGTAATTCCAGTGACAACAAAGCTGAATTTGTAGCACTTATTACTCCAGTTTTAAGTGTCACATGATCCTTCAGAATTTATTTAAATATGCTGATTTGGTATTGAAAAGAATTGTGGTTGAAAACAGTTATGCTGAAAACCATGATACTTTTTTTCAGGATTCTTTGATGTCATAAAATACACCATTAATTTGAAATAGAAATCTTTTGTAACATTATTTCACTTTTGATCAATTTAATGCATCCATGCTGAATAAAAGTGTTAATTTCTTTCTTTCTTAAACAAAATATTAATGGTATACATTAATGGTAGTATGCGTTCCTAAATACAGGTGCTAGAGAAGTATCTTCCTAATTTACAAGGACCATCCTCCCCAAGAGAAGGGTCCATTTGCATTGGGATGCATAATAGAGAGACAACATACAAAGGAGTCTTTGTACTTGAACAAACTACAGTGTATAAATAGAGTACAGTGCAGCCCAGTGCAGTTCATGCCACTATTGATGGCCTGCTGCAGTAAAAACTCTCAAAAACCCAGTTTGTATTCCTGCATATCTCACCCCTGGAATAAGAGTCTCTCCGATCAACATCCCAAAGATGTCAGTGAAGGTGACAGGCTGTCCGGCCGATTTCTTCTTCCACAGCGCTTTAACGTAGCGGTTGATGTTTTGGGGCAGGAGCAGTTTGAGCGGGCTATTGCTGACTCTGTTCATCAGCTCCATATTAATATCCCCTGGGCCTTTAGCGGGAAACTCAGGGTGCGAGTACAGCATGGACATATACCTGTAGAAATATAACCAACATGGATGTTTACGAGATTTTTACCATTTTTGATGTGATTGGTGATTGATGTGGTTGTTGAAGTGTTTAGAATAGTGTTTAGCATATTGTTATGTGGCTGCTAGGGTATTCAGGATGGTTTCTAGGGCATTGCTTTGTGGTTGCTAGGGTGTTTTGGATGGTTAATTAGTGACCCACATAAACCTTTTTGGATTTTCTGGTCCCTGGAAAGGTTCTTTAATGGCATCTATGGTTCCATGAACATCCATAGAACCTTCCCACTGTACAAAAGATTCTTTATAGTGGAAAAAGGTTCTTCAGATTACTAAAATGTTCTTCACTCTAAGAAAATAAGCTATTCTTTTGAGAACTGTTTACTGAAAGGTTCTTAGAGGAACCCAAAACGGTTCTACTATGGCAATGCTGTGAAAAGCCCCTTCTGGAACCATTACTGGAATTTTTAAGATTGGAGAAGCCCATGGGATTTTTGCATCTGTTTTAAAGAAAAAAACTAAACATTCGACTTTTACTGACCATGTTGATCCAGAAAGTCCTGCCACGTATGTTGCACAGTCAAGCACCCCAGATTCATACAAAGCCTTCATCACACCAGAGAAACCAACCATTGCACGGAAACCACCTCCAGAACCCAAAATGGCGATGGTGGGAACCTGTGCAAAAATAGAGCTGCTATCAGAAAGGATCGCTCTCGATAGATATAAGATAAGAAGTTTATAAGGCAGCTTTTGTGGTTTTTGACTTTACCTCTCTAGGTGAGGCTGGAAGGAAGTGTGGGTTTTCCATTTTGAGAAGCTTCTTGATGCTGAGCATAACTCTGTCCCTGCGCATCTGCATGAAGAGTTTCTCCTGATCACACAGTGCCATGCTGAAGCGCAAGTCTGTGGACGCACTGCACAAAAATGATTCACTTTCAGTTCCTCATTCACTCCTGTATGCATAAAATTTACACAATGTATAGAAATAAACATTTCTTCATACATACCACACTTCTAAGAACAAGTCGAGGAACACTTTTGTCATCTAGCAAAAATCGGAGAATAATAAAAAAAATAAACAATTAGACACTGAAAAGCAGTAACTACGAATTTAGTTCATGGCAAGTTCATGGTGTAAACCACAAAAAAGAGAAAAAAATAAGAAAAACCTTTACCTTGCCAATAGATAGGCTCACATGCTCTGTCTGCCCCACTTTGAGCTTTGAGAGGGAATATTTAGCTGTGCCCAGAGTTTCGTCCATGACATAATTAGCGTCCATCAGTGTCATCTAAATAAAGAGCATTCAAAAAGCATTATAACAAAGTGCTGATATATTTTCTAATACTTTCAAAATTCAATACAACACCTTTAATATTACTTCATTAAACCATGCCATATAAACCAACAACGGCACAGGCACACTTTTCAAGCAAAACATTTCACAAAAAGACGTTTATACAGTCTTAAGTGATAAAACAATACATACTACTACCATTCAAAAGGATGGGGTTGGTAAGATTTAAATATTTTTGAAAGAAGTCTCTCATGATTATAAAGACTGCATTTATTTGACCCCCCCCCCCCCCCCTCCAGTGGAGTGGGGTTGAACCCCTCACAGCATGGAGCACATAGCTAATCAAGAAACATGTTCCGACACAACAGTAACAATTAACCCTCATTAAGGGTAATACATTCTTCTCAGTCTAATCAGACACACATGCATTGACACAGATGTGTCGCACACACACACAAACAGACACAGTTGGTGGCATGGGTGAATCTGATAGGGTCTTTGATGATCATGTTGACTTTGATGCATTTCTAATTTGATGTCACAATTTCCCACAATCCTTTGCACTCCTTTCCAAATGGAGTGGAGTTGAAAAATATGATAAAAAATACAGTGAAAACAGTAATATTTTGAAATATTATTAAAACAGTTAAGTTATTTGTATTTTAATATATTAATAATGTAATTTATTCCGGTGATGACAAAGCTGAATTTTCTCATTACTCCAGTCTTCAGTGTCACATGATCCCTCAGAAATCATTCTAATATGCTGATTTAGTGTTGAAAAACTTACTGACCCCACATTTTTGAACGTTAGTGTAGGTTTAGTTTAAAATTAAGACAAAAAATGTTTGGGAACTTTATAGCTTCAAGGGCCCCTTGTGTAAACTTGATAGGGTTCCGACTTCCAAAACATCCACTAAATATCACCATGACACCAGCTGGTTAAACGTCACTGCAAAAGCAGCTGAGAAATGTGAAGTTAGTCTAGTATAATTTACCAGCAGATTCAACTTGATTTGTGCATACATTTTAAAATCCATACATTTTAAAGTGTGACTTAAGTCTCAAAATACTTTTTGGGACCACTGTTTTGAATCAGGAGATAAATACAGAAAATGCCTTTACAAGCAAGTGCACTAATACTCTATAAGTAATGAGAGTAGACATTTTTCACCTCCAAAACATTGGGTTGATTGGGATCCAATATGAATTCAAATGTTTCATTCCACTTTGGGTTAATGTCGTTATTTATGTGGCGTGTTCGTTTTCTTGACTCTGGTGTGGTTGGAATGGACAGTTCCACATAAGGGTCTGGGGTGTCCACTGTGAACAAACACACAGTCACTTAAGTATAAATCCGCATTCAAGGGTTTATTTAAATAGCAAGAAGACAGCATAAATATATACTCACATAAATCCCCAAATGCTCCTTTCGTCACATTTTCAGCTCTCACCACATTTACTTTCAATCTATGAGAATACTGATGCTCAACCTGCGCATATGATCCACAAAGTCAAGGATTTAGAGCGTCAAGAGCAGTAAAATGCGTATGTATGTATAAAGGAAGGAAGCTCATTTAACTGAAGTAGGAAATAGACATTAGGTGATTCCCAAACAGAATTATTTCTAGACAGTAAATGTGCCTTGAACGTCATAAATTCAGCAGCTGTCTGCATGCAAATAAATCTAACCACTGCAAAAGAGCAGCAGCTTTACACTTTCCATTTCTAACATAGAGACTAAATGTTAATGCATATTGATAACATTAACGAATAAATTAATAGATCTTAAAAATACAAACAAGATTTTTTTTTTCAAAATCTCCAAATACCATGTCAACATTAAGGATTAATTTACCCTGACTTAATGAAACAGGTTCTACTTTAAGAGTTTTCTTAATGACATGAAACTTACTATGATGTACTGATAGGGATCTATGGAGGACATTCTGGCAGCAATGTGGAGGTCAGGAAGACGCTTTATTTCAAGACAGTCCGGAAAACATCTGTGAAATTAGACAATAAAAAAAGAGAAAGAAAAAAAAATACTGTCTACGCACTAGCGGTTGAAACATGATACCGCCTTTCCGAATGACATGCAGAATTTAACATTCTGAGACCCAAAAGTACAGCTCGCACTCAGTTCAGAAGTATGATAGAAACTGTTAAAGCAGGTTTTTGTTGCCTATAAGTCTTACACGCGTGGATACTAAAAGTTTTACGACTTTACAGAGAAATGAAACATGCAACAACTTACCATAACCGGTGGTACAGTGATGTTGGACCCTCTCCGACAAGAAAGTCATTTCAGGAAGCCGAGAGGAATGCGCATACCGCACTACTGGGCGGACTAAAAGATGTGCGATTCGAACGAATCGTTCGTTTGAGATTGTTCATTGCAATGATTCAATCGAACCGACACGCACAGCGTTTGTAAATCTTACAGAATATAGTTTATAAGTAAAACACCTAAACCTATATGAGGTGGGTGAAGGGTTGGGACTATATAAATTGCAACTTTTGACACAATATTTTTTAAACTACTGAAAGTTTATCTGCCAAAATGCAGGGCTGGCAGGGTTTTAATTTGACTGACTGCACCAAATTGGACCACCAAAATGTACGCTAAATACAACTAATATATAAACGTAATCGAAAATATCAGTGATGATATCATTATTGAATAAAATATCTAATTATACAAACAAGAGACCGTTAAATCGATGACTCAATGTTGAACAAGTTCATTGAAACGAATCATTCAAACGAATCGATTCGCTAAAATCAGTCGATTTCAGGGCGGACGCAAAACTCTTCCCCCGCCCCAGCTCTTCAAATTTCACTCGGACTCCGATGGGAATGATTTTAGCGCTATGTTAATATTTTTAATATGCTATAAGTGAGAAATGTCATCGCGTGCAAGTGCCCAGGTTTTAATTTAAGATGATGACAGACTGATTAAATTATAACGCATAAAAATAAACCCACATGTAAGATTGTGAATGACTGTAATAGCGACACTTTCTCTGACACAAGGTGGCGCTCATGAGTTAAAGTAATGCGTTAATAATCACTGGAATGCCCTTGGCCTATTGTCTACTCTACAAGTCGTGTCTGGTTTTGAAAACTAAGGAGGTTTACAAAGTAATTCTATCTTTTCTCAATTTAAAGTCATGTCTAGTTGATCAAATGTATAATAAATATAAGAGGCCTAATAAATTATAATAATTTACTCATATAATGTATTACTTAATAGCATATTTTGGAGGAACATACATAAAGTAGGCTTCTTATAAACACTGGATATAGGCTAAATCCTGAATATAGCCTATAATATAGAATATAGGCTATAGGCTAGTTGCAAATACGAGCATAGCTATAAATACCATTAAGATTATCTTCTTTCATTAGGTTTATTATTTATTATACAGTATATGTGTCATTGTAAACGTGTTTACCAATAACAATTTGATAAATAGGCTAAATAACCTATTTCAAATTAATAAATCCTGTTCTATTCATTTAATAATCAATTATTAGCTACTTCTTCCTGAATATAAATACTTAAAAACAGAAAAAATCCGTTAAACGTGCATCATATGGAAAAATACAGTATACTTCTGACGTTACAAACCCTTTTTTTCCCTTCTTCTCGTCTTGGAAATTGCGCAAGCGTCTCGTTCTCAAGCAGTTAAAAGGCACAGGAGCGCATCCAGGCACTCACATTCCACGCGCTCTACCAGACAGAGTACACTGCTTCTGCTTCGGAGTAAAACATTCTACATACAACTTCTGGAATGAATAAACTGATTTGCCTGGTCTTACTTTCAAGCTGTTGGATCTTTCTCGGTGAAGGATGTAAGTTAACTCAGCTTTAGCAATGTTAGACTTACGTGCTTCTTTCAGACTTTGACTGTTCTACCCAAATGCAGTCTAATCATGCCTTTTCTTCATGACTGTTTCCTGCAGACGACCCTTGCTGTGCACAGCCTTGCCAAAACCAAGGTGTGTGTTTATCTAAGAGTGCTGACGCTTATGAATGTGACTGTACCAGGACGGGATATTATGGTGAAAACTGCACTACCCGTAAGTCTGGCCATGGATTGTTTTTACACAGATCAACATTTTACATAAAAGAAGATTTGTGCACTCAACACTGTTTTTTCTTGCCTCACAGCCGAACTTCTCACACTTATCAAATCAACTCTGAAGCCGAGGCCAAACATAGTGCATTATATCTTAACGCATTATAAATGGATCTGGGACATCATCAACAACATCTCCTTCCTGAGAGATGCCATAATGAGATATGTCCTGACATGTAAGTTAAATGTGAATTCATCGAAATATGTAACAAAAATGAGACTAAATAAATATGTAAAATTACACTTTTCCTCTTTCTTGTTTTACAGCAAGGTCCCATTTGGTCAACAGTCCACCGACATACAATGCAGATTATAACTACAAAAGCTGGGAAGCGTATTCTAACTTGTCCTATTACACCCGCACCCTCGCCCCATTGCCCCAGAACTGCCCTACACCCGATCTCCCAAATGCAAAGCAGGTGGTGGAGAAGGTGCTGGTGAGGAAACAGTTCATCCCTGATTCACAGAGGACCAGTCTCATGTTTGCTTTCTTCGCCCAGCATTTCTCTCACCAGTTCTTCAAGTCAGACTTTAAAAAAGGACCAGCCTTCACCGAAGCCCTGGGCCATGGAGTAAGTGGCATTCATTAACTATTTTACTTGGGAACATTTTACATCCCATCCAAAGTCTATAAGGAACAAGGAACTGCAGTACAATTTCTAAAGGTTCTCTAACGTTTTAGGTGGATTTGGGGCATATTTATGGAGAGACACTGGAGAGACAACACAAACTTCGTCTGTTTAAAGATGGAAAGCTAAAGTATCAGGTTTGTGGACATTAAAATGGACAGCATTTTTTCACCCCAAAATCAAAATTCTGTCATTCACTCATTTCATTCTTTTGCGGAGTCCATACAATAAAAGTCAGTAGGGACCAAAACAACTTTGGATCCCATTGACTTTTATTCAAGCCATTCTTCAAAATATCTTCTTTAATGCTGAAGAAAGAAAGAAATGATGGCCGAATTTTTGTTTTTGGGTGAACTATCTTTTTAAAATGGACAAGTATTGCTTGTTGGTTTAAACCTAGTAAATGAAAAATGTATTTGACTCATAGGTTGTGGATGGTGAGGTGTATCCTCCATTGGTGAAGGATGTCCAGGTGGAGATGCACTATCCTCCTCACGTCCCAGAGGAACAGAGATTTGCTGTGGGCCATGAGGCCTTCGGTCTGGTTCCAGGTTTGATGATGTATGCCTCCATTTGGCTTCGTGAGCACAACCGCGTCTGTGATATCATGAAGCAAGAGCATCCCGACTGGGACGACGAGAGAATCTTCCAAACCACTCGTCTCATCCTGATTGGTGAGTCTTGGTCTCATCATCCAAAACCTTCCTGATATTCTTAACTTCGTGGAGGAATTAAATATTCCCGCTTTTTTCTCCCATGCAGGTGAGACCATCAAAATCGTGATCGAGGACTATGTTCAGCACTTGAGTGGCTACCACTTCAAGCTCAAGTTTGACCCGGAGCTTCTCTTCAGTGAGCGCTTCCAGTACCAGAACCGCATCGCATCCGAATTCAACACTCTGTATCACTGGCACCCGCTGATGCCTGACAACTTTCAGATCCAGGACCAGGTCTACGGCCACCACCAGTTTGTGTTTAACAACTCTATTTTGACCCAGCACGGCATCCGCAACATGGTGGATTCCTTCACCAAACAGAGGGCTGGAAGGGTGAGTTTCACTTATACTGTAGATTATAGCTTCTCAGAGAAGCCTCATGCCGTTCCAAATGACTTTCTCTCTTCTGTGGAACATAAATGAAGATATTTTGTAAAACGCCTCAGTGTTTTTTGCCCATAAAATTAGTTATTGGGGTCCAGTGTTGTTTTAGACATTAGACAAACATAGTTCTTCAAAATATCTTTTGTGTTCATACAGTTTTGGAATGACATGAGGGTGAGCAATCCCCTAGTCTTTACTCTGCTGGCTTTGCTAATGTCTATCATTTTTGTGTGAGCAGGTTGCTGGTGGACGTAACCTGCCTGCTGCAGTTCAAGCAGTGGCTGTTAAAGTTCTGGAGCATTCCAGAGAGATGCGCTACCAGTCTTTAAATGCCTACAGGAAACGCTTCAACATGAAGCCCTACTCGTCTTTCGAGGAGATGACAGGTAAGATCATTCAACATTTAAAAAACAAAAACTACATAGGTTCAGAAATGGGAACATTTTGAAAAAATACATCTTGTGTAATTGTAACCTTATCTGTATGGTAAAACAGGAGACAAGGAGCTGGCAGCCGAAATGATGCAGCTGTACGGTCACATAGATGCGGTTGAGCTGTATACTGGCCTTCTTGTGGAGAAACCCCGACCCAACGCTGTGTTTGGGGAGACTATGGTGGAGATGGGAGCGCCCTACTCTCTCAAAGGCCTCATGGGAAATGCTATTTGTTCTCCTGAATACTGGATGCCTAGCACATTTGGTGGGAAAGTGGGATTTGACATTGTTAACACAGCCTCATTGAAGAAGCTGGTGTGCATGAATATCAAGGGACCTTGTCCGATGGTGTCCTTTCAGGTGCCTGATGTGAAATATCAGAGTTCAGAAAACATGAATTCAAGCTCAGTGCACTCCCCACAACATCATATTAACCCAACGGTTGTCTTGAACGAGCGAAGTTCAGAGCTCTAAAAGATTTTGAAGGCCTCATTGCCTTCACCATGATACTTGATGTCATATTTGTTATTTATTTGTTTATTTAAGTAATTTATTTCAATATGTATTTATTGCTGGGTTTTTGTATTGCTATTGACATGCAACATGCATTTTAATATTTTTTTTTACACATACTTGAAAGAAAGTCACATGAGATTTTCCCTTTAGACAGATTTTTATAACAAATAATTAAATGTAGCTGTTTCAGAAAACTGGATATCCACATTTCAAGTGCAACTGTTGCTAATAATGCGCATTTCTTGAATAAAAACATTTTGATCTTTTGTTAATATATGTTTTGTGTTATTTCATTGTCAGTTATTCTTATTCAAACAATTACATCTATTCAGCACAATGCTCAAGCATTTAACTTGAAAAAGAAAATCATGAAGTTTTATATACAATATTTATGTACAATAAATGTAATATGAAATGTCTGGGATCTGTGATGGGGAAAGATTACTTTTTTAGGACATAGATTAAGAATATAAAGGAAGCATGCAAAAATACAGTGTCTAGTTTAAGTTAACTAA